TACCTCCAACTTCTGTCGTTCCCCATCCCGTTACAGTGCATAAGGTATCATCCTTAAAGGTTTTGGTGCTTGTAGGTATACAGACCGTTCGAACGTATTCAGTAATACTAAACGAGTTTTCCAGTTTTAATAATGCAATGTCATGGTCACTTCTATATGGACGGTAGTTGGGGTGAACAAATACCTCGGTGACGTTTATAAATTGAGTTCTGTCAGAACTTTCGTAATCTTGTTTCCGTAAAGAATTAGTTCCCATCAAAAATTGAAACATTGAAGGCACAGTCACTACGTCACTGAAAAAAAATCAATTGAAAAACGTACCTAAATTATAGTGTGTCCTAATGATAGCAGAATTCCTGATGAAGTTGGGTCATGTGTGGAGTGGTAGTAAATGGTAGCAAGTTCCATTTAGTTGTGGAATTAATAGCATGCTTGCAGTTGTGGGCAATGGCTCTGGTTGTGGTGGGTAAAACCGACCTACCAAGGACTCCAAAAGTGTAGAGTATAACAGAAGGATTAAAAATAGAGTGGAATGATAGGAAAGTCCGCCACCGCTGTTTAACACGTGCATCTTGGGGTGGCACCCCCCCCCCCACGGGGTGGAGGGGGAAATTTTCCCGACGAGAGCAAAGTGGGCGTGGTCGGGCGTCACTCAAAAGGTTTCGAAAGTGCTTTAGAGGGAAAAGCCCCGAAAATATATTTATTTTGGGGTTTCAAATGCTTATTTAATCGATTTTATATAGATAAATAGAATCTACTAATAATGTAGAAAATACATAGGCCTATATACTTTTTTTTTTATCTCAGGCAAATTGTTTTTTCCCTGAGGGGGGGGGGGGGTGCGTAGGGGGACTGGGCAGCTCTCTTCGACAGCGGCTTTTTTTTAATATAACTAGAGTCTTGGATTATAACGGGAGCTAGAAGCTTATGAGATTCCATCCATGATCACTATTTTTCCTGGCATAGCAATTTGGAGGGAAATTATAATATGATTTGCTGTACACATCACTTGTTCGTTCGTTCGTTCGTTCGTGTGAATCCATAATCACTGGAGCTACACAGGTTGCTTAATGTAGCTTCCTTTAGAGAATAATAATCGCGTATAATGAATTCTAGTTGCTGTTATCAGTTAACTGAAACAGTCGCGGCTTAGCAGTGTCACCAACGAGCAGGTTAAATCATGCCCCCCCCCCCCCATCTTGACCCCCCTCAATTGTTATAAGCTTATCAAACCAACAAGGGTGGATAATTTGAACTCGCTTTTGGTAAGGTAATAAAAAAATGTATAGACAACTTAGGCGTACATGCAATGTGCAGCAGTCAAGATCCACTGAGGGTCAATAAGGGAAGCGCCACATATTCGACGTCCAGCCCTAAAGAGGGCGGCCTGCCACGGCCATTCACCGTCTTGAGCTGCCTGCCCGCCAACAATGAATGTCTCTGGATTCAGCGGAGCAGTGACTTTACCGCAAGTACTGAGATCTGAAATAATAAACATAAAAATCATAAATCTACACATGCGTCGGTCTGTGTCTATCGGTTGTGCGTGCGTGTGTACGTTCATTGGTTCATTTGTACTTTCATTCATTCATTCATTCATTCATTCATTCATTCATTCATTTTTTCTTAAATTTATTGATTTATTTAAAACAGTTGAAAAACCTCCTTACTGCCAATAATTTGACATTAGCCTACCAGTTGAACAACATATTTAACGCCCATGGATCGGAAAATTAAGTGAACTTTCTCTCTAACTATTATCCAATTACAATTTGTGTATACAGTACTTTCATTCGGCTTACCGATTGAAAATTCAAGACAATTAGGCCTAATACATATCAACTAGAAATTACAAAAGACAATAGGCAGAAATCAAAATACCTTTTCTAATTTAATTCATCCCCTCACCCCCTCCCCCAAACACACAAAAAAAATAATAGATAATCAATCCATTATCAATATATGGTTGAAAAATAATCGGATATCATATCGAAGGGACCGAAACACCTTACCTGAGCCACATTCACTGCCAACAGCTAATATCAAAACCAGGACACAAGCCTTCGCCAACGTCATTTCGAAAATGTTATTCTGTCGTCGAATTAGTTGCTCTACGTTTCACTGATAAATATCCTGTGAGATAAGATAAGCGTCGTATAATACATATTGTGTAGGCCTATTAACTAAGTAATTTCGAATACTTTGTGTACTCAAAAGGTCTTTATTTAGACCCACGACAAAAGCCTTTACTGTATATACTGCAGATTCACTCATATAGACTTATATACACAACATTAAACATTTCTAAAATTTAGATTAGATGTGATTCATTATAAATTTAGATATATATATGCATATAGGCCATATATATAATATATATATATATATGTATATATATTATACATATATATATGTAGGCCTATGTATATATATGTATTATATATTTGCGCGTGTTTATGACAAATTAACGTCCTGTCAATGTCATTGCAGAATTCTTACCAGTATAGGCTATGTAAACACTAAAGGCTTATGTCGCCCTTATTACCCTTGAGCACACACTTTCTAACGCTGTTCTTTAAAAGTAGCATAGAAACAGTACCGTACTTTATGGTTTGGTAATTAAAGTACAACTTAATTTCTACGACTTATGAAATTAACTCGAAAAGCTATAAAATCCTAATTAGACAGCTTCGATCACATCAATAAAAGTATCATACTAAATACATTGCACGACTCTTACATTTACTAGAGCAGGGGCGGATCCAGAGATGTCGGAAATGGAGGTGGGGACGAAAACGCCATCCTAGTGGGTCCCGCGAAATTTGTGTTTTCTAGTTTTCTTACCATTTCTTTTATTGCGAAATGTCTTCATGGCTTTTATGATTTTAATATTATTAATATTTTTTATTACATAACAATCAACTCTAGACGCGATATACGCATATATTTTTTAATCTACCAGCACTGCGTACATACCTTCAAAATTGTATTCTCTCTAAAATGTAAAGTCAGCTAAAATGAATCAAGGTAGGTTTGTCTACAGGTCTTGCAGAACACACAGAAATAAGCACGATCCTACACAAGCTATGGAATATGAATGGAAAATGCAATGGTAATGTACACATGACCGGTTCATATTAATCAATCACCTATTATGAAATGACCAGATAATTGGGTTCGAAGGTCGATTTCTGCAGTGTCTTATCCTAACCTCAGGGCGTTGACGATTTACACAGCGATTATAATGATGATATAGTACAATAATATGGCATGGGCCATACGTGTTATCGCCATTGAATAATATCTTGGTCAATTATAAACAATACTTTAGGTCAAAAAGTATTGTGTTTTTTGTTTGTTTGTTTTTTTTTTTTTTTTGTACACCTACACTCTTTTGTAAAGAGCAGAGTGCTGTCTAATTCACGTTTTGGGGTGGCGCTGTACTGTGGATGTCGCAGTTCCCCGGTCGCTGGCTATCTTCTTTTTTTTTCAGGTTCTGACTGGGATCCAGGGAAAGAACCAGAGAAAAAATTACCGTGGGTTCATGCAACGTCCGAAGCACCGATTTCTGTTTGAAAAACTTGACCATAGACTCTGATACATGAAATATAAATGGAAATTAGCTTTTTTGTGTAGACCTAGTACTGTTCTCGGCTCTTTCCTTGTTTCTCTCTCTTTATGTATTTATTTGGGGGTGGGGCCTAGCCCTAGGTGTGCCCCTGGTTAAACCAATTGTCATAATATTATATTAAGTTATAATAAAATAATTCAATTTAAAAATGTCTAGTTTGAATTAGTTTGTGTCTAAGTTGTCTGATTGGCTGAACTAGCTGGTCCTGTGGCCGTTGTACGAGTTCACTGCAAGTCCAGGTCGGTTTAGCTCTAGTTGAATTTGATTCATTTGTATTTGTCCGAGTTGTATTAGTTCGAGTTTATTTTGGTCCGTGTTGCATTTGGTGGAGTTGGTTGAGGTAGGCCAACATGTTGTCCGTGTTTGTTTCACCCATCTCGGGTAGGTCTACCTCTAGGCCTTTATATATCATTTAACCTCGGTCCTGACCAATATCAATAAACTCGGATCAAAACCAATCGGACCAAAACCCATTCAGCCCAATACAACTTCGAACAAACAAACAAAATATTATTTTGCTCAGAGTTTAAAAAAAGCAGTTTGGCTGAATTCGTTCAAGCTACCAAAATGACTTCGCGATTTTCACGATTCCGCCCTCTAGAGTCTAAGTATTCCACAGCCTAAGTTTAATAACTAAGAAAACGACAAGCACATACACTTATTTCATTATTAGTGTTTTTTAAAAGTTTGTTCTTGATAAATTGCATTACTTTCGTCAGGCTAAATTGGCCTATGAATCAAATCACAAAATAAAACTAGGTTTAAATGGAGGCACTTGATGTTGACTAAGCAAAGCCCCGGGTGAAGAGTGGTATTTTAAGATTTCTTAAATATAGGGAAATTAGATTAAACTTCACTTTTCAAATTGTTAAAAATAATGTTATTGAAAAATATTGAATGGGACTTAAGTAGGCATACTGTACCTGTCATTAAAAATGAAGCCAAAAGATATCTAAATAGCTATTATGGGTAATTTTCCTACCCTTCTGTATTTTTAAAGATATCAATATGAGTAATTTCAGTTAATATTCAATAAAACATTACCATACGATATCTCAACAGAAAATGTGAAGACCCTTTACTCAAAATATCAGATGAAAAGTAATATCAGGTATCAAATTATCATTATAAGAACCAAATCAAACGGACATATCTAAAAATTTAAAAAATATGTGAAAATTTAGATAGAAAACGCAGTACGTATTAGAATTTAATACTGCATTAAAACTGTATTGTATGATATTATTAAATCATTTCTCCTTGATTTTGAAGGTCGCAAAGAAGCCTGGTCAAATGTAAAAGCAGGCCTTTGCAAATTATGTTTTGGGACATGTCTACATCAATTTCAGCAAGTCTTAAACATAATATTTCCTTTGATGACCTGTCTGTCCATAACGAATTTCCTCTAGAATCTGAAGACAATGATGCAAGTTGTATTTTTGATAAAATATTTAAAAAATTACCTTTATATCGCTTGGATGAGGCGTGGAGCTACCGGTATGTACACCATTTCATCGGGTCTTTTTTGAAATAACGCCACCAACGTCACGCAACTTTTTACAATGGCACACCCAATAAATTGTATCGTATCGACAAATAAGTATAATATTTAAGTTTGGGTTGGATTGTTTTATTATTTTTTATTTTATATGCTACTACTTTTATAACAACTCAAAGAAAGAAACTGCAAATCCCGTAAAAATACACCCACAAATGGTAAGAAATAATAGGCCTACTTAAAAGATAATCTGGGCTCACCCTGCAGAACAGGCCTCGCCAGGTCACGGCACGCTCACGGTCCCGCTTCACTCCCCGGTTTGACCGACCCAGCCCTTAGAGCCAATCCCCTGCATGCAATCCACAAGAGGCCTTGTATAGTGATTTATTAACTTCAATTTCGGTTGCTTAACCGTATTTGTAATGCAAATTTGTGAATGTTATTCATATTGACATAATGTACAAATAACAAAACAAAACAAAACACAGAGAACTGAAAGGAATTTTCAGCGTTTTATAAATAAGTGTTGGAGGGTAAACGTAAACAAAGATTCAATGGGAACTAAACGTCTGTATGAAATAAACAATATAGAGCTTCTGCGACAGTGGGAGACACATCTTGTAAAGATAATAAGACAAGTTTGCATGAATAATACCATTTCAGTGTGTATTGCCTTCCCTACAGCTTCAACTAAAATGGAACTTTTGGTCACTTCTGTGCTTGTCATGCTTTTGTTATGGCTAGCTGAAGCTCAGTCGGGTGAGTAGATACTTGGCCTATTGTGCCAAAGTCAATATTGATAATGTACATTTTTTATCATTATAATTAATGCAATGTTATCAGTTATGATCAAATGTAGACGTCAAGATTTGTTAAAGCAGTTGGGTTTATGATAAATCTGATGATACAACAATAAGACAGAGAGATCCAAGAAATTTATTATTAACCATGGATGTGTATAAGAGACAGGATAGAAAACGCAGTACGTATTAGAATTTAATACTGCATTAAAACTGTATTGTATGATATTATTAAATCATTTCTCCTTGATTTTGAAGGTCGCAAAGAAGCCTGGTCAAATGTAAAAGCAGGCCTTTGCAAATTATGTTTTGGGACATGTCTACATCAATTTCAGCAAGTCTTAAACATAATATTTCCTTTGATGACCTGTCTGTCCATAACGAATTTCCTCTAGAATCTGAAGACAATGATGCAAGTTGTATTTTTGATAAAATATTTAAAAAATTACCTTTATATCGCTTAGATGAGGCGTGGAGCTACCGGTATGTACACCATTTCATCGGGTCTTTTTTGAAATAACGCCACCAACGTCACGCAACTTTTTACAATGGCACACCCAATAAATTGTATCGTATCGACAAATAAGTATAATATTTAAGTTTGGTTTGGATTGTTTTATTAATTTTTATTTTATATGCTACTACTTTTATAACAACTCAAAGAAAGAAACTGCAAATCCCGTAAAAATACACCCACAAATGGTAAGAAATAATAGGCCTACTTAAAAGATAATCTGGGCTCACCCTGCAGAACAGGCCTCGCCAGGTCACGGCACGCTCACGGTCCCGCTTCACTCCCCGGTTTGACCGACCCAGCCCTTAGAGCCAATCCCCTGCATGCAATCCACAAGAGGCCTTGTATAGTGATTAATTAACTTCAATTTCGGTTGCTTAACCGTATTTGTAATGCAAACTTGTGAATGTTATTCCAAAGAGTATAAATAAATAAATAAATATTATTATTCTTAATCTTTATACTCTTTGGTTATTCATATTGACATAATGTACAAATAACAAAACAAAACAAACACAGAGAACTGAAAGGAATTAAATAAACGATAGTCACAGCGTTTTATAAATAATTGTTGGAGGGTAAACGTAAACAAAGATTCAGTGGGAACTAAACGTCTGTATGAAATAAACAATATAGAGCTTCTGTGACAGTGGGAGACACATTTTGTAAAGATAATAAGACAAGTTTGCATGAATAATACCATTTCAGTGTGTATTGCCTTCCGTACTGCTTCAACTAAAATGGAACTTTTGGTCACTTCTGTGCTTGTCATGCTTTTGTTATGGCTAGCTGAAGCTCAGTCGGGTGAGTAGATACTTGGCCTATGGTGCCAAAGTCAGTTTTGATAATGTACATTTTTATCATTATATTTAATGCAATGTTATCAGTTATGATCAAATGTAGACGTCAAGATTTGTTAAAGCAGTTGGGTTTATGATAAATCTGATGATAAAACAATAAGACAGAGAGATCCAAGAAATTTATTATTAACCATGGTATTTTCAAACACTGGTAATTTCGGGTGCGCCACTAAGTGACAACTAAATGAAATATGTTTTCTGTAACTTTTATATTTATATATATTTTAGTGATTTTTACTGCTTTAACTTTTTTATATAGTTACTGAGTTTTTATATGCGTATATTTTCTGCAACTATTGTTAAACTTCAATTTGATGTAGATTTTTATCTTGTCAGATTAAAAGTGAATTTGATTGATTGATTATATATATATATAGGTCTATATATATTATATATGATATATATATGTGCATGTGTGTGTGTATGTGTGCTTGTGTATGTGTATGTATGCGAGTTTGTATAAGTAGATATATATATATATAATATATATATATATATATATATATATAATAGAAAAATTGGTAAAATTTATCAGGATGAAAGGGCTCAACCGACTGTCGATAGAACGTGTGAACTGGCTATTTTAATGCACAAATTAAAATGTTATTGAAAGTAAGATAAACGACAACGGATCCAGTACCGGAGTCGCCAGTCAATGCACTATTATAAATAATTGTTGGAGGCTAAAAACAAATAAAAAGTATAAAAGCAGCAGAAACTGAAATAACCTGATATATATATAGGCCTACATGAAATATGCCATAGAATGCTTTGTGTGTGGCAGTCGGGACATCTCGTCAAGATTATTGAAAAGACCGGTTGTATGAATATCTTGTCATTCGTGTGTAGGCCTAACTTGTAGTCAGCAGATATGAAAATTTTATTGGTTACAGCTCTGCTCGTCGCCCTTCATTTAAGGCAGGCTGACGCTCAGACGGGCAAGAACATTTGGCTCATGTCAATGACATACGTAATGTACATTTTTATCATTGTATTGATAAAAAGTAATGATTAAATAGGCCTATAATAGTGCCTTACGTTAACATATTTTTTTGTTTCTACTCATAAAATCAATGTGCCTTTTTACGGGAAGTTGAGGTTAATTATCGGCGAATATTATAATGTAAATATATGATATAATAACCTACCTTTACATAATACAGTATAATTTATGGGGTCCACTAGGGGTCTCCATGCCAACTGATGGAAATAAGTTGAATATATGTACATTGCCTTCGTAGCTGTTATTGGGAAATATTAAGGATATCTTGGATTCAAATATAACAAGAAACTCGACAGTATTTTCAGTTATATTTATTAGAGAAAATATATTCAGAGTATAATAAAATCTACAGCATCTGTCCCATTTAAGATGCTGTGTTTTCTTCTATTTTCGTTGTAAAACAATCACAACACTATATAAATTTCTCATGTCAAGTGTAAGCTTGAAACAAACATGATCAATGTGCAGATTTCTCAGAGGCAATCTTATTTATAAAACAGTAATGACACGTAGTTTTATTACGAGAGTCGAACCGTACGATAAATAAAGCGGTTATATGAAGCCGAGAACGAATTAGAGAATGAACTTGATCAAATGACAAAGTTTTTACAAAACCACACTTAGATTCTGCCTTTAATACCTTAGAGTATTGCACATTTATCGAAATGCTGTAAAGCGACTTTCCGCAAACTATGGTCCGCGGCCCAAACTTTTTTGGAGGCCGCAAAAGTCGTCAGGAAATTGAAAAGAAAAAATAAATAAATAAAAAATTAAAAAATTAAAAAAAAATAACAAAGAGACGTTTCATTATGGAGAAAATAGTTTTTAATAAAGCCCCTTCATTGTTACAGCGAATGCGTCGCTTGCACACACTGCTAAAGTGCAGATGATGCGTGCTATTTGAGATAAGGGGTTTTTGTGTCTATGCCCCCTCAGGAGCTAGACACTATGTTATCGTTCATTATTTACCCTGTAAGCTCGAGTAAATCCGGTATGGAGGAATGATGTGATGAGTCATGAGCTAAAAATATAAGACCCGGCCTAGGAAAAGCACTTCAGTAAACAACACCACACATTTCTTGATAACCGAATGCCATGTGGATGCTTTATAATACCAAACATAATACCCGTATATTAAGGTAGTCTTTCAAAGTTGCAGAGAACAGAGTGTGCGTAAAAGTTTTTTGGAAAAGGAGAGAGCTATGACGTGTTTGAAGAAGAAAAAAAAAAAACAAAAAAAAAAACAAACAAACAATTGTCGGGGGAAACACAAATGTACGGTATTATCTATTTAATTAAATAATAGGCCTATTTAATTTTTATAAAATGAAATTATTTCACTGAGAGATCAGATAATCATCTTCATGATCAAAAGCCAGTATTTGGTAGTTGGTCCCTTGCGCGGTTTGGCTGTTGGGCTGCGGCTTGGTGCCTGGAATCGCAAATAGACCGTGAAGTAAAAAGTTTGCGGAACGCTGCTCTAAAGAGCAGTTTAAATATCAGGAATTCTCTGTTTACTCTGATCGACTTACCACATAACATTGCTGTAGCGTTTTCTCTGTGCTTGCTTTCAGTTCAAACAGGTGTTTATGAATCGTGGCACTTTACGTTAACGGTCAGCCAATATCATATTTCATATTTATTTATTTATTTCACTTAACTACCACATTTTCCAGATTACACAATTAACAATCGAGTTTTTAATTAAAATAATACCCAAAGTTATGATTAGTCTCTGTCTTTGATTTATATATCATGGCGTACGCAAGCAAAAATAAGCTTTTTTGTCTTAGAAAAATCAATCTACAGTCTACTTCTGTCACAAATAACATAGCACACTCTTGTCCGTTGCACATGCATCGGCACAATGCAGGGTTTTTATGATTTTTATGATGAATTTAGTGTCAAACGTCATTAAACGTCTTCTTTCATAAAAACGAGCACTTTATTCTAAGATCCCACTATGGAATTGGCGATCGGAAGGCAATACTGTACTCCAATACAGTTAAGGCAGAAATTATAGAGACCAAGGAGTTCGTGCTTCTAACAGATCATTCCATTCACAGAAAAATCCTTTTAAAGTGTACAGTATATTTTTACCAAGGTTTGCCTAGATCGAAACTAACTCCGGCTATATAAAATTGATTAGAAGATTGAAAAAGTTATTTTTGTTAATGAATAGATAAGGATTACTACTATGTCCATTTTTATTGATCTAATCTACGTAAATATACTTTCATAGTTTATATTTTAATTAATTAAAACTGTTTAAATATTTATTTGAAAATATTATATGAAACAATTTAATCGTTAAAGATTAACAATATTTTATAATATTTAAATAAAGCAATATGATTGATCTATGTTAAATAAAGACACAATGTATACACAAGCCTAGTTCCATAGTCCAGTTAAAATATGTAAATATGTATGGAAATGATATACTTAATTACATATTTATATTTATATAAATTTGGTGCTGGTTTCAGGCGCTCCTCCCCATTGTTTGGTTGACAGAATCATCTCTGATAAAGACTTAAACCAGTACATCTACCTCGTGGGCACTTTAGAAAAGTGTAGGGTTATACCCGATGTTGGTTCATTTCATCCCCTGTCGTTGTGGAATGATGTGAACATGTATCTCCATGAAACACCTCCTTACTTCTGCTAGGTAGTCACGGACCACGCCCATACACAATTCAGCACAATGACGGTGCAAGTTATTCGTTATTCTCCTACCTTTACCTTTATTACCTGAAAAAGAGCAGACCTTCAAGATAGGCGGAACTTTTATTAGCATATAGGTGTACCGTATATTCTAAGCCGTCGCATTCTTAAGTTTTCTACAAAAAATGTTATTACTTTTTAATTCTTTTAAATAATTTGATTTAATAATTATATTCATAAAATACACATAATCTTAATCATGAATGATATGTGTTTTCTAGTTATCCCTAAGCAGAAAAAATGGTTGCTTTACCGTAGAGGAAATGATTTGAAAATTCATGCTCTACGACAGAGCAGACATATCCACCCTAATCAATACAATGGATTCCGTACTTCATCATGGTTGGTTGCGGATCTTACAATGAAACTTGACCTAAATTCCAACGGTGCACTCAGCTAACTCTATCGAAGCGTGAATGTTATAAAACAAATAGGCATAAGTCTACAAACTGCAAATGTGTCCTGGGGAACTCTCAAGCATTGATTCATCAAATTGATACATAATTTCCAATGACAGGCCTACTAAGAACAACCCCACATTGATAGATGAACACTTTGGACTGAGTCACAGGCCAAAATCTGAGCCTCGGTAGTCAAAGCAGTGTAAAAATTATAATACTAGATTAGACACATTCTATGCCGGCCTGCAACATGGCCTTCGAAAATATAAAATAGCGGTGTAGGCTAATTGATTCTGAGAGCGGGACTTGTTGTTCAAAAGAGGGACACAACGTGATTAACATTACAGATAAATTGTATACATAAAGATAGTATCAGTAAATAATAAAAAAAGTGTATATATATATATATGTATATATACATATATATATACATATATATATATATATATATATATATATATTTATAATGCTTAACTTGTTTAGTATAAAAAAAAACCCATAGTAGTAAGCCTGAATCTGATAATATTACTATGACAGGAATAGAACCCACGTTAATATCTAACTTTAAAAAAAAACAAAAAACAAAAAAACAAAAACAAAAAAACACACACACATGTTTAATGTGTAAATTAATTATTTTTCGTTTATACATTATAAGCTTCAAATTGTGGCGGAAGATACTACAGTTCACCTGATTACTTAACATCACCAAATTTTCCCAGTCAATATTCAAATAGAGCAAACTGTGTCTACCTGGTCCGTATCTATGGCGCACGTGCGATAACATTTACAGTGCATGAATTTGATACTGAGGTAAGTATGGTAATAAATAAGCGATCTGTGAAGGTACCTCTCTCTGGGCACCCTCAATTTCGAAATTTATGGATCCACCACTGCTAGGACCACCTGTCTGTGCGAAGGTCAGGGAAAATCCTGGATTGAATAATAAGTTGCAAAGAATAGTGACATATTAATACTGAACTGTTTTGGTGTACCATTGAATATATAATATATGTATTTTGCATTTGACTTCAGTTTAACTTTTCATCAATCATTACACTCATTGCATTTACAGTCACATGATTGGTTACACTTTCAATGGCTTCTTCCTCCTGTTTATACTCAACCTTTTTTCCTCAAAGTCAATACATAATTCTGTTGGCACCCCAGAACAAATAATTCTTTGTCTATTCATACATTCCAACATTTTGATAGTAAAAAAATGGGATAATGGGAGAATTTGGCCTGTGAGAGGGGGGAAGGGTTCGGGAGTAGTGGTGGCGCCTAGAATTGTCCAACGGGGTGTCCGAGCTCCCCGGTTGGGGCAGATTTCTCCAGTGAGAGCAAAGTTTGCGTGGTCGGGCTTCACTCAAAATATTGCGAAAGTGGTCCAGTGAGGCCCCGAAAAGTTTGACAATTTAAGGGTTTAAAGGATTATGCCTATTTACATATATTTTTTCATCCACCGAGGAATTGTGAATTTTCACCCCAACAGAGGGTGGGGGCAGCCCTGCAGTTTTCTTTGTAAACTTGCAGAGCATATGAGAAAACGTGAGAAAAAAATTGGCCGGGTGTCAGGTCACCAAATCAGTCTCCAGGCCAAAACGGTAGTGTTGGCATGTATGACCCTTGAATGTAGGTAAGAATGGCCCCGGAAAAAATGGCCCCAGAAAAAATGGCCCCAGAAAAAATGGCCACGGAAAAAATGGCCCCGGAAAAAATGGTCCCGGTAAAAATGGCCCCATATGACAGGTAGGTAAAAATGGCCCCAATGAAAAATTCGGTAATAGAAATGATATATTTTTTTTAATCTTTAAATATTTAAATACTGTATAATCAAGAATTGAATCAAGAAATAAAAAATGGCCCTCAATTATAAAATTCAAGAAAAAAATAATAATAATAAATAAATGCTGTAAAATACCCTGTAGCAAAAATTTAATTAATAAATCAACATAAAGAATATGCATATTTGAGAACTAAAATAAATTAGTTTTTGTTACAGTATTGTAACTTACAAAGCAACTTTTAAAAAATAGTAACATTGCATGCGTTAAAAAGATGCTGTTAAATTAGTATTAGAAACTTTTTAGTAGGAATACATATATACAGTACAGTAAAATGTACAATAGTCAGCGAGTTCGTCAAACAAGGTATAAAAAAGTCTACCATTGGGTAGCATCTTTTTAAAGAAAATCATTAATTTCATTTTAAAAAAAAACACAAGTTACTGATTGATTAAATAATTCTATTTTAAATAAGAAATGATTATGCACAGTAAAGGTAACATAGGACAACATTTAAAAGATCTGTTTATCTAGTTAATCTGCTAAGAAGGGCTAATTATTGCTTAGCTCCACTGTGGCTCCACACACCCTATTGATATGTAAATTAATTACTTACTTCCTGTCACTGCTTGGTATTTTTGTTTTTAGTTTTTTCAATTTACTTGATCTTGAGAATGGTTCCATGATGGAACGAAACGTCGATCTTTCTTGTCATTAAATTTTGTTTTGAGATTATGTTCTTAATTGATTTAATAAATAAAAGCCACAAATAATAATTTGATTTACTAAATTTCATTATGTAAAAATAGTTATGCTTTAACATAGATTAAAAATATGTTACGCCTTACTTATTTTTAATCTATGGTCTTTTTAATTAATTTTCTTTTTTTTATTGGAAATTCCGTAGTGCAGAGTAAATTTATCAAAATCCATTAGGTTTACAGTAATATGAAAAAAAAAAAAATTAGTTTATACAGAAATAGTATCTAAAATGATCTCAATTTCCAAAGTTAAATCAAAAGATCTAATCTAAACACACAATATTAGGCAGGATGTATTTGTTTGGAAAAGAACCCACTGTTTTGTGAAATTAAGAGGTTTATAGGTGAAAATTGTAAATTTAGAAATAAGTTTTATTTTTTCCTTTGAACTGAGATCAATATGTGATTTTTTTAAAATTTCTTTAAAAGCATTTGTTTTTTAACAATTAAAGCAGATGCAAATAATCGAAAAACAATGGCCATTGAATAACATTTTTGGTTAGTAGAAATAAAAGTTTAAAAAACGTTATTTCACTAACAAAGTAAAGGAATTACATACAGTATACAGTACTTCAACTACCAAAATATGCAATTCATAGATAACCACAAACTTCACTTTTGTTAAATATCAAATGAATTAACTTTACATGTTATAAACAATGCAAATAAACAGTAGCATGTGGATCAATTGTGTGTTTGAATCACAAGTTCATGTATGGGAAAAGGGAGGGCTTACTTTCTCGCAAACTTAGCAATAAATTGTCTGCTTAGAGTTTATTCAAAGAAGTATTGCTTTTAGTAAAAAACTGAATAATTAGGAATACATTTATTTAAGCAACTAATTTAGTTGCATACTTGGTTTTTACTCATCACTAACTAAATCCAAGTGCCTACTACTGGGTTAGAATTATATATAGTTATGTATGGCAATTATGCTAAGAATTAAAATGGCTTGTGAGGGTAGGGTGATTATAGTAGGATTAAGATGGTAAATCCCACAAACCTCCCAAAAGACACTGTAGAAAATCAAACAATTCAATTGTGATTGACTGACTTGGTATATCAATAAGAAAATTAAATACATTCATAACTATTTTTTTTTTGGGTTTAAATTTAGATTGTTATGAAAAAATACTTGCAAATACAAGACAAACCTCTAAACACACTGCAAACCCCATCTAAACCATATAATTATGATTGTAGAACTCTCTTTTTCTTAAAAATAAAATAATAATAATTTTATGTTCATACTAACCCACTGTGTGTGGGGTTTAACAATACACAGATTGAATTTCTGGAAAATTGTGATTCCTCTACCGTGAAATCGGCCACAAGTAATTTATTTTAGTATTAATAAATGCATGATTTATGTTGATTTATTGATTTTGTTGTTGCTATTTTTTAACATTTAAATGGAAAAAAAGTGTAATTCATGGCTTTTTATTTATCTTTGAATATTTTATCATTGAATATTAATTCTTGCAAAATGTAAAATGTAAATGGCAATTTGTTTGATGTTAGATTCCTTTTAAAAACTAAATTATTTAAGATACAAAAATGCATATATTGACTCAAGAAAATCAGTTTTAATACAGAATTTGAATATTGGGGCCATTTTTACCTACATGTCATATGGGGCCATTTTTACCGGGGCCATTTTTTCCGGGGCCATTTTTTCCAGGGCCATTTTTTCCGGGGCCATTTTTTCCGGGGCCATTCTTACCGTACACCATGACCCTTGTATGTTGGTGTCTTTCACAAGCCTTCTATGTAAGTGCATCTGAGTGGATTTCCCGCACGATTAAAATCGTAACGGCACTGGGTTTGGTATACAGGAATTTGTGCATCGAACAGGTCATTCCATTCATAGAAAAAGGATTTTGATAGAGAAAAGTATACCATTTTTCTATGGTTTGCCTAGGGTCGGCTACATAAAATTGATTAGAAGATTGAAAAAGTTATTCTTGTTAATGAATAGATACCGGAAGGATTGCTACTATGTCCATTTTTATTGACCTAATCTACGTAAATAAACGTTCATAATTTATATTTCATTAAAAACTGTTTAAATATTTATTTGAAAATATACGAAACAATGTAATCGTTAAAGATTAATAATACTTGATATTATTTAAATAAAGCAATATGATTGAATTATTTTTAATACAGAAACAATGTATGCCCAAGCCTAGTTCCAAAGTCCAGTTAAAATATGTAAATATGTATGGAAATGATATACTTATTTCTATATCAATATAAATATTATGCGTAAATGTGTATTAGATATTAAAATAAATTTAACAAAAAAAATGGAAGAAGCAAAGGAAGAAAGAAAAATAGGAAAGAAATCTGGAGCGGCTGAAATATTTGCTGAAAATAAACAATCATTTAGTCATTATTGCATCAAATTTTTGTGAAAATTTGTTGGCACTAATCGTCAAGATGCCGGCAGCGTACATGAATTACCTGTATATTTATAAACATATATAAAAACCAGATTTTGCTTAATTATTGAAATTTTTGCTGGAAATGGGCTTTAACATCATATTTAGTAATCACAATTTTAATACCTACGCCTACCTTGTTTCTGTAACAAATGTCTCCCTCCCCCCACTGGTGCCACTATTGCCAGGTAAGTATCTTACTCATATACTACCAACATCACAATAGATTTTATGTGTTTTGCAGAGCCTTAAAGATGTATTGACGTACGGTCCTGGTTATAGTGTTGACTTTGATTCACCCGATCTTGTGTACCTTATGGGTGTCCTCGACACGCCGTTTCATTTTACCATTAACGGAGACAGTGTGTGGTTTTACTTTGCGACTGACAGGACCATCACACTGACTGGTTTCAATATCTCTTTTACTGAAGGTATAACAGCGTGTATAACATCTATATGAACAATAATTATTAATTAGTTTAATTTGTAAGATATGATATTAGCAATCAATTAATGAATGCATTAATATAAAACAAACAGTTGGATTTGTGTATTGTATATTCTATTATTATTATTATCATTATTATTATTATTATGATAATGATGATGATGATGATGATGATGATGATGATGATGATGATGATGATGATGATGATGATGATGATGATGATGATGTTACTAAAACCTACCTTATTTTAAGGGGAACTTACAATGGAGAAATTAGAGAAACGACTATAAGGGGAAAATAACATGACGTTATGAAGAAAATAACACAAAAGATATTCCCCTTAAGTCTGACTTACGGCATATTATTATTATTATAATTATTATTATTATTATTATTATTATTATTATTATTATTATTGTTATTGTTATTGTCATTATTATTATTATTAATATTATTATTATTATTAATATTATTATTATTATTATTAATATTATTATTATTATTATTATTAATATTATTATTATTATTATTATTATTATCACTAGTTATTATTATTGTCCTTGTTATTATCTACTACTTTGGTATACTATAGCATATAGTAACTGTTACAATTATTATTTTCATTATTAATTGTAATCATAAAATTATTACCATTATCATTATATCATTATTGTTATTTTATCGTTTCACTTAAAATATAAATTTTGTTTTAAATATGATTACCGTAATCATATTTTACTGTTAATAGTTATATTATTGATGTTATTTTTATAAGATGAATAATGGTCATATCACACACTTATCTTCTCAAGTTTTTTTCTATAATCATTTTGTGTTTCTTTGTAAATGGGACAGTTTATTCCATTGTTGTAGTATTCTCTTTGACTTTCCCTAACCACGTTTTGTCATGAAAAAAAAATGAAATAAAATGTTGATTCTGTCACAATTCTGCATTGTGTATGTAAAACATCTATTGTGTCTTCATCAGTAGAATTACAATTATATTTTTCCTTATTATACAGATATTAACGACTGTCATCCTAACCCGTGTCTGAATATTGGCACCTGTGTTGACGGGATGAACAGTTACACCTGTATATGTCCACCTGGATTTATAGGAATTAACTGTGAAATCAGTATGTACATTATTTTAATATTAATAAGGAGGATTTGTTTTTTCATATATTTCAATTCCATATTTGAATTGTGTATATTTTAAGTACCATAAGCATCGTCAGTGGTTTTCCCGCACGATTAAAAATCGTATCGGTAATGGGTTTGGTCTACATGAGTTCGTGCTTCGAACAGATCATTCCATTCATAGAAAAAGCCTTTAAAATAATACGGTACCTTTTTAGCAAGGTTTGCCTAGATCAAAACTAACTCTGACTGTATAAAATTGATTAGAAGATTAAAAAAGTTATTCTTGTTAATATTGATAAGGATTACTACTATGTCCACTTTTATTGATCTAATCTACGTAGATTTACTTTCATAGTTTATATTTTAATTAATTAAAACTGTTTAAATATTTATTTGAAAATATTATATGAAATAATTTAATCGTCAAAGATTAGAAATATGTAATAATATTTAAATAAAACAATATGATTGATTTAGGTAAATACAGACACAATGTATACATAAGCCTAGTTCCATAGTCCAGTTAAGATATGTAAATATGTATGGAAATGATATATTTATTTATGTATTTATAGTTATATAAATTTGGTGCTGGTTTCAGGCGCTCCTCCCCATTGTTTGGTTGACAGAATCATCTCGGATAAAGACTTAAACTATAGGTCCAGTACATCTACCTCGTGGGCACTTCAGAAAAGTGTAAGATTATACCCGATGTTGGTTCATTTCATCCCCTGTCGTTGTGGAGATGTAAACATGTATCTCCATGAAACACTTTGTTACTTCTGCTAGGCAGTCATAGACCACACCCATACACAATTCAGCACAAATAACGGTGCAAGTTATTCGTTATTCTCCTACCTTTACCTTTATTACCTGAAAAAGAGCAGACCTTCAAGAAAGGCGGAACTTTTATTAGCATATAGGTGTACCGTATATCCTAAGCCGTCGCATTCGTAAGTTTTCTACAAAAAAAAAATGTTATTACTTTTTAATTCTTTTAAATAATTTGATTTAATAATTATATTCATAAAATACACATAATCTTAATCATGAATGATATGTGTTTTCTAGTTATCCCTAAGCAGAAAAAAGTGGTTGCTTTACCGTAGAGGAAATGATTTGAAAATTCATGCTCTACGACAGAGCAGACATATCCACCGGCCTAATCAATACAATGGATTCCGTACTTCATCATGGTTGGTTGCGGATCTTACAATGAAACCTGACCTAAATTCCAACGGTGCACTCGGCTAACTCTATCGAAGCGTGAATGTTATAAACAAATAGGCATAAGTCTACAAACTGCAAATGTGTCCTGGGAAACTCTCAAGCATTGATTCATCAAATTGATTTATACATAATTTCCAATGACAGGCCTACTAAGAACAACCCCACATGGATAGATGAACGCTTTGGACTGGGTCACAGGCCAAAATCTGAGCCTCGGTAGTCAAAGCAGTGTAAAAATTATAATACTAGATTAGACACATTCTATGCCGGCCTACAACATGGCCTTCGAAAATATAAAATAGCGGTGTAGGCTAATGTTGAATCTGCGGACATACCAATCCCCGAACGTCCAAAAGCGGGACGCATTGATTCTGAGAGCGGGACTTGTTGTTCAAAACCGGGACACAACGTGATTAACATTACAGATAAATTGTATACATAAAGATAGTCAGTAAATAATAAAAAAGTGTATATATATATATATATATGTATATATACATATATATATATACATATATATATATATATCATATATATATATATATATATTGATTAGGCCTATATATATCCAATCAACGACTTTCGTGGCCTTTATCGGAGGTTTGGATAATTGTAAAAACTGAATAAAACAAATAAATAAATAAATATATAATATATATATATATATATATATATATTATTCATCATTCATATAATATATTATTTATCAATCATATCATATATTCATCACTTTATTCAAATGCAACATACAAAACATACAAATTGGAAAATGAAGGAAAAAATCGCATAAGAAAAAACAAAAAACAAAAAACGAATCTATAAACGAACGGAGGGAAGCCCTAAACTCGTCCAAATTACAAGACTTTATTATGCAATTAATATATATATATATATAT